ACCTGCACTACAACGTCATATATATTTGGGGTATGGCTAGCGCGACCTTCTTGAAGGAAAAGCAGAGGTCTGCGTCCCTACATGATCAAACTCTCATGCTTCAATATGCCCTGAACCCTTAAACCCCTAACCCTAACCCTAAACCCTTGAACCTCTTTCGACTCATAAGCCCCCTGAGATAAGCTGCATTCAAACGCCCTGGGTGAGTCGTGCCAGGCTCAAAGTGAAAGCTTTGAAGACGAGCAGCGTAAACAACATTTCCGGCGTGAACGCCGATGTCCATGGCTCAGCCGAATTGGTTCAGAGTTTGCGGTTTAGGGTTTGCGGATGGTTTAGGGTTTCGGGTTTGGGATTTAGGGGCATAGTTCAGTGGGAAAGCACCCGAACTGGCTCGGGCTTTCCAGGTTCCCAGAGCGAACTCCGTACCGGTGTGCCTAGACTTGCACATCTCGCGTAACCCCTGCCAGGCATCGCTTCCATTCCTGCCCGAGGCAAACCTCGGAACCCCACAAGCACCAAAGCCCGAAAGCTCCAGCACCGCAAAGCCAAAAGCTCTTGAAGGCCTGAGCGTGCCAAACCCTAAAGGCCTTATTTTAACCTTTTTCCCTACCCTAAACCCTAAACCCTAAAGCCCTGCAATGCGGGCTTGTCCTTGCTGAGTAGGAGGCAAAAAAAGGCCTTATTTAAACCTTTTTCCCTCGAGGCCTACGGCCTGGGTCAAGGAGAGGAGGCTGAGAGTGAGCAGCTGAGCTGCACATGGGCCTAGGGTTTGGCGTGAGGGTGCAAACCGTATTGTTATTACGATTATTATGTTTATCATGTTCAGTCTTAGTATTTACACTACCGTTATACTTTCGACATATGACAAGTACTACTTGTTCGAGTGTTGTCACTTTCTTTGTCTTCAATATTACTCTGACCATCACTGATAGGTTGCCACTTTTTCATGATCATTGCCATTATCGCTGCCACTCGCATGAGCAATGCCAGTAGCCGTTGACAGTATCTGCATCAGTATCAAAGTCAGCTTCACGATTGTAGATACGAGAACTGTTAGGTGTGGCAATGCTGTTGTTGCTAGTCATGGTAAAACTGTCAGTGCCATCACCACTACCACTTCCATTGTTGTCGTCATTGCCATGGCGATTGCCAGATCAGGGTCAGTCACTACCATTTGCCTCAGGATTGTAATCATCGCGATTATTGCGAGTATCATCATTCATGCCATCAACATCATCATCATCACCATCATCATCATTACCGTAGGAACAAGGAGCTCAACAAGGCAACACATGGTGTTTGTCTCTGGACCCTTGCCGGCCTAGAGTTTATGGTCAGTGAATGAAGGATCGGTCAGCTTCGAGACGTGCAGCTCCGTACGCGATCTGAACCCACGTATTCGCACTGTCTGAGCTGGTCGAGGTCTTGTGTGCGCTCTAAACCCTAAAACCTAAACCCTGGTCTCCTGAACCCTAGGCTGCCTACCTTTTGGGGTTGTAGTCGTTGGGTTTTGGGGACTTAAGGCTTAGGGTTTTAGAGTCAACCCTTTAAGTCATAGGGGGTTTAGGGTTTATAGGGTTCAGGGTAATAGGGTTTAGGGGTTGAGGGCTTCTGTGCGTGGGCAATAGCCCTTATAGTGCCCTTGCGGTACCACTGACGAACAGGTCGTCTAACCTCTGATGCCATTTAGTATCCCTCATGATATCCCTTCAGAATAATGGCCCTTATCTGTTCTTGTAATACTGAAAACTACTTCGCTCATGATTCCCCCAAAACCCTAAACCGTAACCCTAAACCCTAAGCCTTATAAACCCTAAACCCCAACCCTAAGCCCAAGGACGAAGTTGGTAGAGCTCGTTGCTGAGACCATGGTGCCCCTTGGCAGCCGCGACATTTCTCTGTGCTCCGAGAAGGCGTGATGTTGCGGGGTCTAGGGTTTAGAGTTTAGGATCTAGGATTTAGGGTGTTAGATTCAAGGCTTGCTGCATTGCAGCCCCTGCTCAAACAAAGGGTTTCCAGATCTCAGCGCCCTGCAGAAAGCGACAGAGAGAGGAAAAGAGAGAGAGAGAGAGATGGTTTAGTCGCACCCTGCGCCCCGGAGAATAGCATAGAGAGATGGTTCTAAGTAGTTCTACCATGTTCTATCATCACCCTAGACCCTAAATCCTAAACCAAGCAAGTGGCGTTCTTCCCTAACCCTAAACCCTAAACCCTAAACCGCATCACATCACCAGACCAAACTGAGGACCCTGGGACTGAGCACCCATACGGATCGTCTTCTCAGGCACGGCTTCTGGCAATGAGAAGTACCTTAACCCACCAGAACCTACTTTTTTGTAGGGCCCCTCTAAATCCCATATTAGGGTTTATAATAAGACCCTTCGGTTTAGGGTTTAGGGTTTAGGGTTTTTGGTAGGTGAAGGAAAGGGACCGTAGCTCTTCAAGTGAGGCTAGCAATGTACCCAGTGAAATATGAGTTTAGGGTTTATGGTTTCCGAAAATGAGGGTACCTTAGTTTGGGGTCCTTATAATAAGGATCCTACTATTTGGGGAACTGTATTAGGGTCCCCTATTTTCGGAAACCCCCATATTGCAAACATTGCCTAAACCCTAAACCCTAAACCCCTAAACCCTAAACCCCAGATAAGAATGCATCAACTGCTGCCTGCAAGAGGCTTATGGTCGAGAATGGTGTCACCAACACTGCCGTCCTCGAGCGCCTCAACGCCGAACGGTGCATGGAGCTGCCCGCAGCCTCAAGCAAGAGGGTTGTGGGGCCGTGGTGGAGCTTTAGTGTTTAAAGTTGGTAAGAACGAAGGGGATGCGGCAGATATGCCGGGAAACGCGAGTTAACAGGCAATTGCGGCTGTTGTGAAATGGAAATGTGGCGGATGTGGCGTGTCTTTCCTACCCTTGCTTGATCTGTCGTAGGTTTGTTGCCTCTCAATTTAATTGGATCTCGGTTTCCTGCTAGGCTGGGAATAGCAAAAACCTGAGCCACCAAACTTGTCTTCGCCCCAAAGACAGCCGTAAATCAGGATTACATGATTGTGAGGGAGGTGGCTTAAGAAATCTGTGCTGCCAGGAATTTACGGTTGGGTCTTTCGAAGTGAGGATAGAATCTCGCACTGGGTGTCCGGTAGGAATCGGTTTCCTTGTCCGTCATAAAATCTGCAACCAAGGTGTCATTACATGTAGTTCTCGTTTTGGGTCAAAGCGGCTTTTAGCGTGTACAGATTATAGGGTCTAGGTACTAGGACAGAGTCTAGGATGTTGCAGGCCTTTTAAGTTTATGGTGTGGAGATTCGAAGCTAGCGGTGCTCAGAGCATACGCTTTAGAAGCTCGGGCGAATCTGTAGAAAGACCTCAAAGCGGAGACGGCAAATCCCTGAACCCTAAACCCTAAACAATTCTTTATCTTCACGGGCCACACCCTGAAACATCAAGCTCGCATTACCCTCCCGGCGGCTTCACGCGGAATTGCAGGAGTTCTGGGTTGACACTTAAGGCTGGCTCCTCGTAAAAAGGATCCGACTACTTAGAGTCTAGATTGGTTAGCCTGTCGTTATTGCATCGGGCTCCCTGTTATTGTTGATGTCTGTTCCTCGTGTCGTGGTTTTTGCAATCGTGGCTTTAGTGTGGCTCGGTTGCTACGCTCTGAAACCCTATCCCATACTGTAAGCAGGCCTGACAATCCAATGCGCTAGGTTGTGATTTGGGTGGTCCTCTCCAGTAGAACCCCATAATATAATAACAGCTTAGTTTCCAAGCATCCGCCATCCCCCGCAACAAATGTGCTTTCAAGTCAACCTGGATGTAAGACGTGCTGTCACCTGCAATCTCAGGAACCTGCCTTACGCGCTCGTCGAAGCCACCCAGAAACGCTGGATCGCTGAAAAGATGAACATGGGCCAGGTCCGCGTGGATTCTTGCATAGGGTTTGGAGGTTTACGGACGAACCTAAACCCTAAACCCTAAACCCGACAGCCTAAGGGCCCTAATTACAGGCGTAATCATTGGTTCGAATAAGTCGAGCACTCGGTCCAAAGCAGATTCCCGGGGTCCCCGGGAGGGCTTCAGGTATCGCAAGCCCATGACCACAGCGACAGCTTCGCTTAAGAAACAGCTTTTGCTTTCGCCGGAGGGGATCCTCGATTTCTTAATTTTGAAGCGCGCCTTTTTTCTCCAAATCAGGGAGCCGGACTTGAGGGTACCCTGGGTTTGATATCCCGATTTTCTTGCTCTGAAGGGGCTCAAAAAATAGCCTATCGGATTCCCTTGCAAAATGGGGCGCACCCACAATCGACTGCCGGAATCGAGCCCGCGATTATGCATTTGTGCTTTGTCAAACAAAGATTACCATCGAAGGTTTTCAAGACCCCGGAGTCCTCTTTTCGCCAAGGAAGCAAGGTCCAGGCTGTGGGCTTTGTTCGCGAAAGGCTTCGCTTTGGGGATTACCCAGACCCCCGAAAGGATCTAGAAAGTAGATCCCTTAAGGGGGTTCCTATAAAGTACCCTTTAGTAGTTAGGGTCCCAAATTAGGGGATCTATTTTTTAGATCCTCCCTGGGGTCTGGGTACAGAGCTGTCGCAAAGAAACCTTATAAATACTTTAAACAGCAATCCCAACAGCTCAAACCTAGAACCTGAAACCTGTTTTCGATTCTACACCAGAAAGCCTAACCTCACATCCTGGTTTGCTCCTGCTGCAGCACCACAAAGGCCTTGAGCAAGAAGAACCCGCACCCACAACAGCCAACCCCTCCCCCCCCCAACCTTGCCCTCAAATTCTCTGACTGGAGAACCCTGCCGTAAACCCTAAACCCTTAAACTCGCAACGCTAGGAAAACCTAGACCTGAACTCTACAACTGACTGAAATCTCGGCCCTAAAGCCTAGGAGGCCTTATAAGCCCTAAAGCCTACTTGGAGGTTCAAGGCTAGTTATAAGGGTTTAGGGTTCCTTTAAGGGTTCTACAGTGTTTAAGGTTTAGGGTAATCATAAGTGGGGATCTAAGTCCCCTGATATGGGTTATAGCTACAGTTACCCTAGTTATAACCCCATGTGTAACTACCCATGAACTCCCTAAACCCTAAACCCTCAACCCTAAACCCTAAACCCTGAACCCTAAACCCTAAACCCTAAACCCTAAAACCTGAACCCTGAACCCTGAACACTAAACCCTCAACCGGAGGACCAGGGCGGCTCCATTGAGAAGGAGGATCCTTTCAAGAAGCTCCTGGAGGCTAACAAGGAGCGCATGCGTGGGGTGGTGTTGGGTTTAGGGTTTAGGGTTAGAGGGTTGAGGGTTGAGGGTTAAAGGTTGAGGGTTTGGGGTTTAGGGTTTAAGATTTAGGGTTTAGGGTTTAAGGTTTGGTTGGGGCTGGGTGGTGTTGGGGTTCTGTCTGGGCTTGGGGTTCAGGTAAGGGTTTAGAGTTTAGGGCCGTTGAGGGTTTAAAGTGTAGGTTTTGGGGCTTAGGCTTCGTGGGTTAGGTATAGGCCCTATTTTGAGATGGAGAGTGGGATGCTAAAGCTAAATTGCATTACAGGGCTAATCATGCAGACCCTTGTGGTATACGGAGCTCCTTCTTGATTCTTAGTCGTCTGGCCTCTTATTTGTTTAGGGGGTAGTTACAAGAAGTACACGGGACGCAAAGGTTACCCTTTCCCCGAGCGAGAACCAACATATTCGCGTGCGGGGGCTCCGAAAGTAAACAACCTTAAACCCTAAACCCCCAAAGCGGCTCCAACGCCAGACTTATTTAGCCAGACCAACAATGTTCGAGCTGAGCAACCATCAGGCTCCGGGGACTCCTCCACAGCTCAGACAGCAAGGGTTTCAAGAAAGGTAGATGACAGGACCAGGATGAACTAGTGGATATTGAGCTTCTGTGCTTGTGGCTCAAGACCCCATACTGGACCCCTTCCGAGCCTGAAGCCTAAACCCGGCCTTACCAGCACGGCTTAGGGCGCTACCAAATATCCGTCCTCGGGTTTGGAAATATAGGCACCCAGCAACAAGTGGGTTCTAGTGGTACCGAAAGGTTGAAAGCGCCAACACCTACGCTTTTCCAAATCTCGGAAGCCACGCAAGACAAATGCTGCGTCCAAGCCGAAGGCGACAGCAAAACCGCCAAATGTGCCAGCGACATGCAGGAGCGCATGACAGGCAAGAACCTTCTCAATGCCCTGCCTGGCATGAGTAGTCCGCGGGCAAGCATTGGTGGCATGGGTGGCCTGTGTCTCGCCGTGAAATTGATGGGAAACCCTAGCCCTAAACCCTATAGTAGAATAGCATTGGGCAAGCTAACCATCTGTCAGTATCATGCCGACCTGCGAGTATATGGAACCTCGGCTGCCTTGTCCGAGTTGTGAGAACGTAAACCCTATACTAGGTGGGGAAGGGCTTCGATGTGTCGAAAAGCTTCGGAAGCCCTAACTCGCCGGGTTTAGGGTGCAGGGGTTTGGGTTTAGGGAGGGTTTAGGGTTTAGGGCTTCGGGTTTCGTTTAGGGTGTAGGGGGGGTTTAGGGCTTGTGGGTTTTGAGTTTAACCATAAACCCTAAACCCTGAACCCTTTCTATGTTTCCGCATGCCTAGGGTTGAAGTTTCCGAAAATTAGGGGTACCTTATTTTGGGGTCAAAATAACAAGGATCCTATTACTGAGGGTACTATGTTAGGGTCCCCTATTTTCGGAAACCCCCAAATGGAAGCCACAAAAAGGAACTACTATGGGGCCTATGGGTAGACCTAAGCCCCACAAGGCCCCGAGCCCGAAAGGCCGATGGAGAAAAGCAAGCCTTTGCATGGAATCCCACGAGTTTCAGCGCTTGTGGATTTTAGGGCCTTTAGGGGGTAAGGGTTTAGGGTTTAGGGTCGCGCTAGCTACTTGGGCCCAGGGGACTTAGTCGGTAGAGTTATAAGTACCTTGACTGGAGTTACCCCGATTATAGCCCTACTTATAGCCGACTTACTAAGTCCCCTGGGCCTCCAAGTGGCTACGCCAAAACCCAATGATGCCAATTTCAGTAGTAGTCTGTCGGCAGCAGCACCTGGATCAGCCTGAGGAAGTCGAGGGTTCAGTACTTACACGGTGTTAGGCAGTTTCAACTCATCTTGTGTTGTGCTGCTGCACATATGATGGTAGGTGGAACTTGCGCACTCCAGAGAGAGAGAGAGAGAGAGATACACAGAGAAAGAGAGACAGAGAGAGAGAGAGATACATATATATATATATACACACATATCTATCT